TTTTACCCAATGGCTCCGAAAAATAGCTCAAAACGTCAAATTTTTTGAAAAGATAAAGAGTTGGGGGTGTGATGTAGTCATCACAACATATTAAATAACTGCAGGACTAAAGATCAAATCGCCTTCACTGCTCATTCAGTCACATGCTTTCTGTCATGATGCAAACAACGCCGCGTACGAGCGTTTCTCAGGAAACAAAACGGGTGCAGAACAGGATGAAAGGCTCCTGAAAAAAAAAAAAGCGCTAGTGGGCGTAGCAAACAATCATTGTCTCAAGTAATTTCCCTAGTTGTTTCATGACTAAACCCAAATCACGGTTTAGCTCACAGTGTCCGCTCATTGTCGCCGTCGACACGTTGTTGACACGCAGCGATGCCCCCGAGCCAAACCGCATTCAGCCGCGCCGGTATCTTCACTTTTTGAGGGTATGGATTTCAAAGAGCATGTTGCACAAAAACGGTGTCACTTCACATCGGTGCCGACAGCAGGAACGGCGTGGAAGAAAAAAAATAAATTTTATTATGCCTTTTCAATTCTATCAACCTCAATATTTGTTCTTTGAAAGCAACTGCTGCCCACACACTGTGCCACTTGCTTTGGTGAAGACGAAGAAGAAAAAAAACTAACACATTAATTCAAAAATAACAAGTTATCCCTTAAAGCGATGATGATGAATTCAGTGTCAGGCTAAGCCAACGTCTCTGGCGGATAGACAGATGTAATATATGCAGTTAAAATATTTAGCCGGTAGTGTTTTTTTATTTTTTTTGGCGGCGTTGCAGTTTAATGCAACGTTTCTCTCATATCCTCCTGCAACGACAACAACAACGGAATAGTGAAAGCTTTGTCTCCCACATGCTGCTGCACGGTGCATATGGTACCAATTGAACAGTTTTCAGAATAGGAAGAGAAGGGAACTGCATTATCGCTCGTTCTAGTGTGGTAGTTGCCATGGAGACGAGTGTAGGTGGTGTACTGTGCTGTACTCTGTGCTGTACTCCTTTCCCTTGTCCTCTCCCCTCTTCTGTTGCCCACCCTCTCTGTTCTGCTATCTGCAACAACTTTCATTCCCTTCGTGTTTTGCTCAAATATTTCTGCCGTTTTGAAAAATCACCTTCAAATGACAGGAGGTGAGATGAACTTCATCGCTCTTATTTGTTCATTTGTGGACTGAACAGGTGTACACGGGTGTCAGTTTTTTCTGAATTCGAGCTCATAGATAGGCCCATTTTTCATCTTCTTCACTTTCTGGTTCTGCTCACATCCCCTCACATCTTCCTGTGTTTTTCTACAAATGTCTTTCCTGCTGACCGTCCAAGTTCTCATGTATGTTCTGCTTTGTCAGTCTCTTCTTTTTTTTTTTTTTTGCAGACCAGCTATTCTTTTATCAGTTTCCATGGAGATGTGTGCATGTGAGTGATTTAGTGAGGGTTGAGAGTGAAAGAGTGTGGATGTGTCATTTCCAGTTTATGTCTTTGGTGTAATTTTTTTTTTTTGGAGGCTGCATGTGCCGTCAGCTGTCCCGAGACGGACTTCGACACAAACATCTGTGGTGTTTGCTCGTCCTCATCCAGCTGTTTTTTGTTGGGCTTGTCTTCTATTTGGCGCATCTGGATTGCCCAACTAAAATATCAGAGTTAAAGCCTGAATAAAGTCAAGTTAAAACCTGGAAGACGTCAACTCTGATGCAACCAAAACCCATAAATGTGAAACATGTCACATCGTCTTACTATGAACATAAAAGCGTCCTGATATTGATCTATTTGATCTATTTTAAAAGCACTGATGTCTCAGAGGATCATTTCCATTTAGGATCAAAGGTTATGTTTCATCCACAATTTACCATCAGCCTCGTTTTTATGACGTAGAGAGGGAGGGAAAAAAACACCCTTAACCCGGTTACAAATTCTTTTTCAGGGATTTATGTAACGCCGTCTTTATGTATGCCCACGAAATGATCTATGACACATTCAGGATTTAACAATTAGCAATTTATATAACATGTTTACATAGCGCGTATCGAAATAACAATCCTTTTGAGGCGGAACAA